ACTTGCTGAGCCATCTCTCCAGCCCTGTTTGTTTGTTTTTTATAAAGATTTGCTATTTAGTCCAGGCTGCCTTTGATCTTCTGATGGCCTGAGTGCTGGGATTACAGGCATGAGCCACCACACCAGGGTCTCTTTTAGTTATGAACAAGGGTAATACACTATAAATGTTGGTCTTCATTTTGCTTTTTCGATTAACAATGCATCTGGATGAGAATTCAACCATTAAGTAAAAATCTCATTCCTTTTACACCTGAGTATTATTGCTCCATTATGTGGATATTTGGAACTATTTTTAATGTTTCTGACAGAAATTTCACCTTATTTTCTCATAGTACCTATTAAATATTTGTGATAACTCACATATTCTAGAAAAATTTCTTTAAGACCATATTTTTTAAAAAATGGCTAAATTTAATAAAAACAGATTGGAAATGGAAGAAATGTGTAAGTTATCAAATAAACACAGCAGTTTGAATTCACAACAATTGAGAAAGGAAAAAGGACCCCCCCAAATGTGGTAGTTAGAAAAAATAAACTGAAATTATCATTAACCTACAATTTTTTTGCTAATTGAAAAATGGTAGGTCAGGTATGGTGGTACACACCTGTCATCCCAGCAATCAGGAGGTGAACACAAGGAAGATCAGGAATTCGTCATCTTTACCTATGTAGTAAGTTCAAGGCCAGCCTGGATTACATGAGACTCTGTCTTAAAACACAAAAATGACAAATAAACAAATAAATCATGCTACCATTAGTCCTAACACAGATTCCCTGCAAAGAGGATGAAGAGAAAGGAAGGAGGGAGGTGCACTCCCAGGGAAGCAGAAGCAGAGAAAGAAGAGTGATTAAATGGTGAGTTATTCTGAACTGGTCTCATGGGTCTACAACAATCATTTCTCTTTTTAATATATTCTTTCCAATTTTTGAGAATTCCATATATGAAATGCATTGTTTCCACCCTTCCCAGTCCCCAGCTCCTCCATGTACCCTCCACTCCCTCACAACTTTTTGTCCGCTTCTTTATTATTGATATACATACATACATTTTTACATATGCACATATATACACATATGTATATATATGTAGATATAAAATCAAATCACTGGTTTCCTAATGGGGAAATGTGCTGTGTCACATTCTACAGAGTCACCGGGCCCTTGTAGGAAATTGCCGGAGCTGCAGTCTCTGTTAGTCCATTTAGGCTGGCGGGCAGGCACAGGGGTCTCTTCCTTTTCATGGGTGGTTTTGTCCTACACTGCCTGGTCCCAGGAGCAGTGGCAGGCCCACTGCAGGCCAGGCCATGTCTCCCTCTTACAAGTCCACAGGCTGTGCAAGTCAGTCTAGCCAAGATGATTTGGAATGGCACATAAACTGGGTCTGTTGCACAATTCAAAGGAAAATCATCCAACTTTCTATCCTTATTTAGAAATCTTTGGTAACAAAAATGATTGGTTTGGATACAGAGCTAGAAAATTTCATCTTCGTTTCTCCTTGACCTTCAGCAAAACAACAAATTATTTAATTTTTGAAAATTCTGAAAGATATTTTACAATCTCCCCTCAGTAACCTATTCTAGTACCAAAACAGCAATTTAAAATTTAAGAAATTAGGCATTCAGCCAGTGTGGTGGCACTTAGGAAACCAAAGCAGAGATATCTTGGGTTTAAGCCACTACATAGAGACTCCCAGGCCATTGGGCTGCATGTTGACACTCTACCTTAAAAACCAGAGAATTAGGGGCTAGGCAGATATCCAGCAGTGGGGAGGTGGAGACAAGCAGATTCCTGGGGCTCAAGAAACCTTTACTTGGTGAGTTCCAGGTCAGTGATATACCCTCTCTCAAAAACACAACAACGACAATAAAAACGTAGCCTCCTCACATATGTAAAAAATTAGCATTTCTTTAAAAATTTGTAATTATGTTTTAAAATTTATTTTGTGTGTGCACATGTGTGTATATATACACACACATATGTGGGGGGGTGTTCAGTACATTCGTGTCATGGTGTATATGTGATGGTCAGAGGACATAAGCATACACTTATACAAAGAGAATTAATTATTTATTAATTAATGAGAAAAATCAGATATTCTATCCAAGTACGCTTGTAACTTAAATACCTAATTCCCTCAGCTAACACAAATGCAGGCTGGGAGGAATTCTAAAACTTGCTGGGCATGATGACCTGTAATCCCAACAACTGAGAGGCTGAGGTAGGAGGTTTGCCTTAAGTTGGAGGCCACTGTGAGCTACAAGGGTCTTAATATGTTGTCTAGGCTACCCTCAAACTTGAGATCCTCCTGTCTCAGCTTCCTAAGTGCTAGGATTACAGGCCTGTGTCATCTCCACCAGGTAGGACATAACTTTTCTATGATGAAGTCCACAATCTCCTTTGAGGCAACATTTAAAACTTTTACATTTTAATTACATTTAAAAAATTATTTTATGTGTATGTGTATGTGCACATGTGTGTGTGGGGGTGTTTAGCACATGCTTGTACTGGTGTACAGCTGGAGGTCAGAGGACAACTTATGGCAGTCACTCTTCTTCTTCCACCATGTGGGTCTCAGATATTGAACTCAGGCTGTCAAGTTTGGCCACAGGCCCCTTTAAGCCATCTCTCCAGCCCCCAAGTTAGCATGTCTGAAAAAGTTATTATAATTAATGAATGGTGTTTTATGTCAGTTTTATGTCAATCAAAAGCTTACTAGTTTTTAAAACTTAGTTTTTTCATAGTCTTATTTTATGTTAGTGTGATTAGTCCTTTTTCTTTTTTTTAATGCCCCAAATTTGAGTAAATCTTTTAAAAAATATTTTATTTATTATTTTTATTTATTTATGTGTATGAGTGTATTGCCTGCATGTATGTAAGTACACCTTTGTTGTGCAATGCCTAAGGAGGTCAGAAAAGGGCATTATGGATGGTTGTTAGCCACCATGTGGGTGCTGGGAATTGAACCTGGGTTCTCTGCAAGAGCAGTCAGTGCTCTTAACTGATGAGCCATCTCTCTAAATCTTTTTTTTTTTTTTAATTTAATGGGTTCGAATGTTTTGCTAGCATGTATGTAGGTGTACCACCTGTGTGCAATGCCCATAGAGGCCAGAAGATGGTGTTGGATCCCCTGGAACTGAAGTTATGGACAATTGTTAGCCATCATGTGTGTGTTGGGAACTGAATCCAAGTCCTCTGCAAGAGCAGCCTGTGTGCTTATCCACTGAGCCATCTCTCCAGTTCCTTGAGTAAATTTGAATTGACTTGTCTTAGATCTCATGTAGCAATTTTGTCTTTTTGTGAGACAGGCTCTCACTTTGTAGCCCAGGCTGGCTTCAAACTCCTGGAAATTCTCTTGCCTGAACTTCCCAAGTGCTTAGATTACAGATATGGGCCATGTCCAGCTTTCTTGTGACATTTTTGAAAAAAAAAAAAAAAAAAGTAAATACATGCTCATGACTAAATTTAATTATTTTAGAGTTTTAAAAAAATACTTAACTGGAAGTTCAGATATTAAATGTTCATAAATGTTGATGTGATAATAAGCATAATTTATTTTTCCCATAGTAATTATCATGTGCATGTACATGTAGCCTATATTCTGTTTCATTCTATGATTGGCTCATTATAGTGGCAACAGTATTATGACTCAATTACAGAAAAATTCTGCTCAAAGATCACAGGGTACAGACAGACCAGTTTGATCCAGATTCCTGGAAATGTCAAGTATTAATATAGTACTTTATATATACTAAACATGAATTATATATGTGGAAGGAAAGAACAGGGAAATGAGAAGATATTTGTGAACTCCTCTCTCTCTCTCTCTCTCTCTCTCTGTTGAGATTTTAAGACAGGATCTATGTAGTTCAGGCTGATCTTGAACTCACCATCCTTCTGCGTCAACCTTCAAAGGGCTTGGGTTACAGAGTGTGCTACTACTACCCAGTACAAACTCCTCTCTCCACCATGATCTCTCATTATTATCTGAATAGCAGAAACAACTCTCGTTCACCACATGTTGGCATAAATGAATGAATGAATTCTCTGTAGGACCATGAGATACACTGATGCTTGTAGACAGGGATGGAGTAGGTATCTTCATCTTTCTTCCTGGTCTATGATTCTGTGGTTTCTGTGGTTCTGATTCTGTGGTTGGGTCGGTTGCGATTTTTTTTTCAATATTCATTTATATTATGTATGAGTGTTTTGCCTGTGTGTATGTAAGTACACTACATGCAAGGACATCAGATCCCCTAGAACTGGAGTTGCAGACAGTTGTTAGCCACCACGTAGGTACTGGGTACCGAACCCAGGTCCTCTGCAAGAGCAGCCAGTGCTCTTATCCACTGAGCCATCTCTCCAGTCCTGCATCCCCCACCCCACCCCCTTGCAAATTCGTTTTAATGTTGAATAACCAATTTGAGTGAGGTGGCTCACACCTATAATCCCAGAACTCCAGACGCTGAGGCAGGAGGGTTGCCTCAGGTTCCAGGCTGCCTGGGCTACTGTGGGAGACCTTGTCTCAAAAAAAAAAAAAAAAAAAAAAAAAGAAACCAAAAGGCTTTCAAACGATGCAAGGGAGAACAGATTCCTCAGTATTTTCTCTTCAGCACCAGGGGAGCCTAATAAACACCAGTACCACTTCCCACTTCCAATGCAATTAATTGGTAAGGAATACAAATTCATGAAAAGTATGTGATGGGCAGCACTAACTTGCGGCTGAAGTCAGAACGCTCACCGTGCCTGTTGTTTTCTCTGCTGAGGAGCTGCCTTGCTTGCGGGTGTGCACACATGGGCGTCAGCCGCGGTTCTGATGCAGAGTTCCTTGCACTGATAAGCTAAAACTGCTGAAGTCATGAGGCTGCTCCAGGCAGAGCCCTCATGTGAGTCATACGAAAGCTCCACACTGCTGACCTCGGGCAAAAAGGGAGTGAACGAGGACAGGAGAGACAGAGGGGGAGAGGCTCAAGTGCGGGTTTTCGCCTTGAACCTGGAAGATTATGGGTCAAGAGTTGTGTGCAAAGAGGCTACCGCCAGGATGCAGCTGTCACCAAGGTCCTGGAGGGGAGGCGCACAGCTGTCAGAGGAGTCAGCCTGGGAGCGCCGAGGCGGCTGCGGTCCAGGTATTTGTTTCCAGCAGGAGCATCTTTCCTTACTGATAAACCAAGGAGTTCAGACAGACACTCCTTTTTGTAGTGGGGTCTGGTTCTTCTGCGGTAGGTCTAAACTCATAAAAAGGAAATTCTATTAAAGTCACAGAGAATTTATGGCGGTAGTTATCAAGTTTGGGGATGTGCTTGTAAACCAGAAGGGGAAAATAATCCTTGACTTTGGTCTACCTTAGACTTCTTTGACTTGAAATAGAGAAAGTGGTTCTTTCCTGAGCATCTCTGAGGTACTAGAGACTGCAGGGTTGGACTGGGGCAAGCTGCAGTAAAGGTCAGCATGCTGTGGATTCAACGTTTCAGTAATTAACTCTCAATTAGTAACGCTTTGCTAGATTAGTCTAAAGCATTTACATAAAATGCATATGAAGGTGTATGGGCATGGGTGGGGTCTAAGTTAAACAGGGAAATTAAAGAACATCCATCAAGACTTGGTTAACCTAAGCATTGAAGATCTACCTTCAGGTGAAAAGAGAATTTAGTATTTCAGCAGTTGTACTGTTATGGTCTCTTTAAGGGATCTGACTTTCTAGAAAGGTGCCTCTTGGAGGGTGTAGGAAACTTGGAAAACATGAAAATCAGGGAAAAGGGGGACAAGGAAAAAAGGTTTTGCCAGCCACCGAATCTTGACTTTGTACACATTTTGTTCTTGCATTTGTTTTTGTCTCTAGCTAACAGACCTAAAAGAAGCATCTTGTTCTGTGTCTTCATTTCACCCCAAGGGACTCCAGGCTGTCAGTGCCTGGAAGCTGGAGAGCAGAAGAGAGAGGAGAAACAGTGATTCTTTTCAGGAGGAGGATCTGAGGCAGGGTTTGCAGTGGGTGAGTGCACACTGATGGGCATCATGTGTGCTTGCTTGTCCAGGGAAGCTGACCCTCAGCTTCCAGAGATGCCCGCCAGTGTGGGCTCCCAGGTATACACACACACACACACACACACACACACACACACACACACCGTTGTCTAATGTCCCTGGGGGAAAGAAAAATCAACACTTTTTTTTTTTTTTTTTTTTAAGAAGTACTCTTTCTGTCTTCTCACATCTTACTCCAACTTTTAAGCAGAAGAAGAGCCTCCCTTTCGGGGCAGCCTCCTCTTACCTGAACTTGGAGAAGCTGGGTGAAGGTTCTTACGCCACAGTTTATAAGGGGATTAGCAGGTGAGTGACTGATCAAATACTTTAGAGATGAAAATCTTCAGCATTTCCTCTCTTGTACTCCACTTAAAACAGAAAGACTTTCTCTGCTATCGAACCCACATGACACTTACTGCCTGGTGGGAAGCAGTTGGTAAGGAGTTTCCAGAAAGTCTTTCTTACTCCTTCCTAAATCACAGTGACAAAAGTTTGCAGTTGAGCCTGCTTCAGTCTCACTTTGCCCAGAAAAAACTGAAGTTGGTTTCTGCAAAGTGTGGGATATGCAAAAAATGATGTCCTACATTGTCTGCACTTGTAAAGTATGCAAAGTGGCTGAAGAACAAAAGAGAAAGAACGTTTACCCAAAAATCAAGTATACCTTGTGAAGATGGACTTCTGGTCTTTCAGGAACCTTTTAGGTAGGGAAGGAAAGTTGGGAGATCTTATCCCTTCACTTATGTTACTCCAATAGAGAAAATAACAGCTTAACGGTTGTCAAGTGTTAATTTTTAGAAGCACAAATATTACTAAGCTAAATATTTTTATTTATCTTAGAGTTTGTATACTTACTATTTTTACTTGTAAAACAGAATTGCAAGGGAAATACAATTTTAAATACATTGTATAGAAGTAGGATTTAATTCCTGTCCAGAGATTACCCTAGTAACTAGGAAAGTAAACTATTTCCTTCATGGAACCCAGCTTGGTAATAGGATGAAAAGTGCGTTAGAAATACTGTCCAACCAGAGTTAAATCCCTAGCACCCATATAAAAAGCCAGGTGTAGTTGTTCATGCCTAAACACCAGTGCTAGGGGATGGGAGCAGAAATAGGAAGATCCCTGGGGCTTGCTGGCCACCAGCCTAGCTCCAGGTACAGTGAGAGACTGTCTCAAGAGATAAGGCAGCTAGTGATAGAGCAGAAGGCTGACACCCCCTTCTGGTTCTGTACATATGCACAGGAGTACACACTTGCCCACACATGTGTACACAGCACACACACAGGAGAGGGAGAGACAGAGACAGGCGGAGAGAGACAGAAGAGAGCAACAGAGAGAGGTTTATAATAGCGTAAATGAAAACTGGCCTCAAATAGCCATTAAAGCAGAAGGAGGTAAATATCTACCATACTACGATGTTCTAGGAACACATCTAAATTTGGAATTAGATGTACTAATATAAAAGATGCCCAACATAGAAAAAGAAAAAGAAAAAAGAAGTGAGCTACAACAATTATATAAAAATATAATTGTTAGTATTAAAAAATGGGCAGAATTGAAACTGGGCATGGTGGCACACGCTTTTAGTCCCAGCACTTGGGAGGCAGAGGTAGGGGGAATCTCTGTGAGATTGAGGCCAGCCTGGTCTACATAGTGAGTTCCACGTTAGCTGGGACTACAGGAAGACCCTGTATTTTTTTTTCCTTTTTTAAAAACACAGGATTTGGCCAGGCGTGGTGCTACATGCCTTTAATCTCAGCACTTGGGAGGCAGAGGCAGGCGGATCTCTGTGAGTTCAAGGCCAGCCTGGTCTATCTAGTGAGTTCCAGGTCAGCTGGGGCTACAGGGAAACCCTGTCTCAGAAAAGATAAAAACAAAACAAAACAAAACAGGATTTATAAAGATTACTCTGAGACAGAAGACTTTTTTTTTTTGTCTTTTTGAAGCAGGGTCTCCCTGTAGCCCCAGCTGTCCTGGAACTCACTATGTAGACCAAGCTGGCCTTGAACTCACAGAGATCTGCCTGCCTCTGCCTCCCAAGTGCTGGGACTACAGGTTTTTGCCACCACACCTGGCTGAGACATAAGACTTTTAAAAAGTCAGACGTATTTGTTTATTCTACTAAACTACACTAATTTTCTGTGCCACTTTATCTGATAAAATTACGTCAGAGAGTGAAAGAGACAAATGTTTCTTCTTGTGGAATATGATAGGAGTGCAAGGTGATAAACAAGTTAGTAAGATACTGCACGGATCAAAGGGGGATGAGTGCTACGCAAAGAATGGAACAGGAAGAGCCAAAGAGAGGCAACTGCAGCTTTAAATGGGGAGGTGAACAGAGGCTTCCCTGTGAAAGAAATCTTTGAACAGAGCACCGGTAAAGGTGAAGGTGAACTAGATGCAAGGCCATGGATGACAACTCCAAGACAGAACAGCAAGTTAAAAGCAGAATCCATGGCAGAATTAGCCCTGACATTGGTGAAGCAGGAAGGAGATGGGGTCAGGGAGGAGCTAGGTAGGTGGATGCTATAATGACTACTTAAAGGACAGTTACAAATATATGACATTTGGAATCTAATATTGTAAAGATTAGATTCTCTAACTTCAAGTTTTGATGTGTTCTCGGTAGAGTTGACCCTTGAAATATTCAAGGAAGTGATAATAGGAAACCCCCTGCCCTCCACCCTGAGAACCCAATTCATGGCTGCTCAAGTGCCTTATACAAAATGGCACAGTATTTGTATATAACCTAATACAATGTAAATGCTGTGTAAATAGTTGTTATATTGTATCATGTAGGGAATGACAAGAAAAAAGTCAATACATGTTCCAAACACAACCAATATTTTCCCTAAATATTTTCTTTCCTTTGAGAAAGGGTCTCCTTGTAGTCCCAACTGGCCTGGAACTCACTATGTAGACCAGACTGGCCTTGATCTCACAGAGATAGACCTGCCTTTGCCTCCTGAGAGCTAAGACTAAAGGTGTGTGCCACCACACCCGACTTTTTCCTAAATACTTTGAGTCTGTGATTGGTTGAAAACATACATATGGAGTCCATACATACACACAGAGCTGGTTGTTTTTGTTGTTGTTGGTTGGTTGGTTTGGCTTTTTGAGACAAGATCTTGCTAATGTAGCCTTGGCTAGCCTGGAACTCAATATGTAGATCAAGCTGGCCTTGAACGTGTGATCTTCCTGAACCTCCTCCCTAGTGCTGGCATGGGCCACTATATCTGGCAGAAACACAATACAAATGTAAATCCAAATCAAGCCAGCAGGCAACAGAAGACAACCCAAAAAAACTGGAGCTGGGACAATTAGCCATCTGGGAAAAGTGAATATAGGCTAAAAGTCAGATGAACAAGAAAATACTCAACAACTAGAGGAAAATATAGGTGAATTCTGTGCAATCTTTAGACAAGCAAGGTCTGTGCATACACTACCCAAGTCAAGACTTATAAGGGAATAAAGAGTGGTCATGAGTATGGTCCAAGAGTCCAAGTGTGGTCAAGAGAGTCCCAAGTCCAAGACACTTTAACAAATGCTTCATTGAAACAATTACAGTCAATTTGATGCTGGCTACTCTAGAGCAAAATCAAATTTGATCCTTTATTATAGATGCTTTTAGCATTTCAAAACTGTCCATGCAGACTGCGATTATCTGAGAACAGTTAAGATTTTTAAAGTAGAAAGCATTTTTGTGGGGGGGTAGATTGGAATTTTACAGAACCACGCTCTAAAATAAAATGTTTTGGGAAATACTGAACATCATAAAATTATTAAAGTTCAAAACTTGAAAGACAAGTGAAAGAAACTGGTGAAAAATACGTGTAAAATGTTCCTGTTAAACAGTGGGGAAATGGGCAAAGGACAAAAGAAATAGAAAAACTTAGGAAAATTCAGTTCCAAAAGTAAAGAAATTGAAATGTGATCATTGAATAGGCTAAAATATAAGATAAAAACCAAAAACCAAGCCCATATTGATGAGGGGTTTGGCAAAGTGACCTGAGCACCAAGTGGAAGAGCTTCCAAAGGGGCAAACCTGCCAAAACTGAGACAGAAAATTAAGTGGTATTGAATTATAACCCAAAGAATAAAATATCTATGAGTCTATACCAGGATGAGTGAATGACTCAGTAAATTAGTAAATAAGAGAGAAGAAAAATCTCCCATGCAAAAGAACTCCAAATGGCTTAGGTAGATAATCTACCCTCACAGAGGTGGAGCCCAGCTTCCCAAGCCCAAAATTCAGGCTACTCACAGTGACGTTAGTCCTTAAAAAAAAAAAAAAAGCAAAGAGAGGAGTAGTCACTTTACAGTAGAGACACCCAATAATAGAGACCTCAGACAGTCAACATCAGAAGTTCCAAGACATGATGAAAGTATGTCCCATAATATGATATGATCGATATGACTCTTGACCTTCCCCAAACTCTAATCATAAGAGAAACATCAGGAAAACTCTATGGGAGAGACATCCCACAAAATTCTTAATTAGTGCCCCTTTAAACTGTCAAGGTTACCAAAACCAAAGAAAATCTGGCAAACTTACAATCAAGAGGAGCCTAGGGAGTTATAACAACTAAATTTAATCCTGAATAGGATCCTGGACTATAAGGACATGAAGTAAAAACTAAAGAAATCCTAATGAACTATGGGCTTTAGTTAATAATAATGTAACAATATGAATCCATTAACTGTTGTTATTTTACATTCTGGGTTTTTGTTGTTCTTGTTTTTTTTTTTGTTTTGTTTTGTTTTTTGCTTTTTTGAGACAGTGACACATGTAGTCAAGGCTGAGGAGGATCTTGAACTCCTGATTCTCCTGCCTCCCTCTCTCAAGTGCTGGAATTACAGATGTGGGTCACCATACCCAGCTTGGTTCATTAATTGCAACAACTATGCCTTAGCAATGTAAGATGTCAACAACAGAAGAAACAGAATGTAGGAAGTATAGGAACTTTCTATTCTACTTTCTCAATTTTTCTAGAATTCTAAAATTGTTCTAAAAATGTAGTTAAAAAATAATAGGGCTTGGAAACAGCTCAGCAGTATAGCACTCTTTAGCATGCACAAGGCCCTGGGTTCAGCCCCCAGCACTGTACAAACAACTACAACAATGACAGTCCCACACAGTGTTAAAAGGAAGGGGCGGCATGGCCCCTCTCATGAAAGTTCATGTTGTGATGACTCAATGAGGCAATCTGAGAACATGAGTTCAAATAATTTAAAACATGTACACTGCAATTCCACAAGTACCTGAAGGAAATAGCAGGGGCCATGTGAAAAGATCCAGCTACAGA